TGTGGGCTCGGCCAAAAATATGCCCATTAAACCCGTATAAATGGGTTCAGGGTCGGTTTACCTCCTCAAAAAGAGACTCCACCCTTCGGCGTAGCTTCGTTCGGGTTCTGCCTCGCCTGAAGACAGAGAGTTCAACCGATCAGCCGGTCGCCCGACTTCAGGCTGAACTCTCTGCTTCCTCTTGAGACGCAGTATTTATTACGTATGGAATAGTCCATTATGTTATTATGGGTAAGGTCCCATAACAGTGATAAAAGTGGTTCCAGTTATATTTCAACAAACTATGGATACTATCCTTGCAGATTGGGATGATATATTAATTAAAAGTGTATCTAAAGAACAATATATCGGGTATGTGAAAAAAGTTTTTGGAAAAATACCCGAATATGGATTCAAACTTGGTGAGGAAAGGTGCAAATTATTTTTCCCTACAATCAAGTATCTAGGAGAAATGATTGACAAAGATGGTCATCAACCAGATCTGTCAAGAGCAAGTGAAATTATGCCTCCTCCAACAAATGTTACTAGGTTACAAGCATTTCTATGACAAGTAGACTATTATCAAAGCTATATACCTAATAGGAAGAATTGGAGAGCTCCACTGAACAGTTTGCTGAGAAAAGGAATAAAGTAGAACTGGACTGTAAAGTGTCAGAAGGCATTTTGAAGAAATCAAGAAAATACTAACATCAACATTATCATTAGTGCACTGAGATTCAAAAGCAAAAATCGTGTTGGCTTCAGATGCTTGTGACTATGGTATAGGAGTAATTCTACATAAATATGATGATGGTAACATGAAATCCAATATATATGCTTTGTGTTTGCTACTACCAGCAGAAAAAAAAAAATATGGATGAGATAATAATTAAAAATATTTCTAAGGAACAATAAATCAGGCATGTGTAAAGAGTTTTTGAAAAAATACAAGAATATTGGTTCAACACCAGTGAATATATATATATATATATATATATATATATATATATATATATATATATATATATATATATATATATATATATATATATATATATATATATATATATATATATATATATTGTATGTATGTTCATAAAAGTAAATCTCCTCTTTTGGGTGATAAACATTGATAATTTCCATTAAATTGCTATAAGCGTTTATCTGGTATTATGAGCTTTAGTTTCAAGAGATTTGTTTGATACTATGTGACCATTATAGCTATAAATGTGCCATAAAAACATATTCATGATAAAAATCAAAACTTTAGATAAGGAAATAAAAGCTATACGGATCAACTTCCAGTGACTTATCTCACACTACAGGACCATTATATAACAATCAATGTACCATGTAACTATCATTGCTATAAAAGAGGAAGCATTTATGCCTTTCTCCCTTAAAAAATCCTCTTTCAGATAATGTGATATTCTGTTGTTAGGGTAACAGGGATACTACTTGAATTACTATAATGTAAAGTAACATCGGACAATCTTTTTAGAACATTGGGTAACAAAAAATATTTAGTTTATTTCTCAGACAAGGCATAATATATTTGACTAAATCAAGTACATTGTTTTCTTATCTGTTCTTGTAATTTTCCTGATATATAAGGATTTTCTGGTATGATCAAATAATATTATTATATTACGATGGTGTATATATAAATGAAATATACAACAATAGTGAAATACTGGAAGGTCTAGTAGATCCAATTTCACAGTATTGCCCAAAAAACAGGTGTAAATAAATATGAGTTCCATTGGACAATCAACCTGATAAGCCGCATAATGAAATTTATCATCTAAATTTTGATAAATAAAGCAAGGGATGGAATTAGACAGGAAAAAGGACAATAACAATGCAGTTTTCTCAAAGACACTGGAACAAGGAATGCAATATTTATGCACAGAATTATATAAGAAAGAGAAATACAAACACAAAGGAATGTTTTATAGATTGTGTAATAGAATTTGGCAAGGTATGTCACAAAAAACTGTTAGAACTGCAGAGTAAGCTCAATTTATTTGGGAAGGATATTGGAATAAAATGGAACTTATGTTGGGAAAGAACTGCCTGCATGAGGATAGAAAATGAATTCAGTAACTATACAAAAATAAAAAGGAGCGTGAAACAAGGATGAATCTCCTCACTAGATTCTTGAAAAGGAGACAGCAAACAAAGCCAAGATATGGCACAGAATACAGGACACTACACAAGGAAATTAGGAACAAATTCAGGGATGCAAAAGAGGAATGGCCCAACAAAAAGTGTTCAGAAATAAAAAGAATGTTCTTCCATTATTTATATTATTTACATTTGAAATAATGTCTTCATCTTTGTTTTAGCAATTGTTCCCCGGACGTTCTTCATATATCTGTCACTTAGGGTAAACTTTAAGGTATTTCAAACAGAACCCTTTATTTAATCTATGGAAGAAGACTGTTCTTGTCCCACTGTCCATGTCCAATAAGCAATAACTGAACAGAACTAAATAAGTGCAAGACAAAATATTCCTCACCATGGACAGCAAAACAAGAACAATCTATATTGTTGATTAAATAAAGGGTCCAGTTTAAATTTCCCTGAAGGTTACTGAGATCCACAGACCCCTGAACAAAAATGAGGTCATTGAATGTAAGCAATATCAATAAGGATAACTCCTTATCCTAAAATTTCCATTAGACAAAGTTTCATTAGAAACAAAGAAAGGAGTATTTAATCCCCTATATGGCTGTGAATGTTTGACAATCTCTTCCTAGATAAAAATGAGACTTGCTACCAATGAATGCAAATTAGTAAAAAATCGGTAAAATATTGCTAGAAAAAAGAAAAGAGAGATGAATTTTTATGTAATATTTAATCTCCTCTATAGCATTGAATTCTGAAATATTATCTCTAAGATGAAGAAGAGACTTGAAGTGACAAAGATGTGGTTCTATTGACAAATGCAAATTAGTAAGGGATCAGATAAGGTCATTTGAAACAAAGAAAAGAGTATCTAATTCCCTATATGGTTGTGAATGTTTGACAGTTTCTTTGTAGATGAAGAAGGGACTTGTAGAAACAAAGATGTGGTTCTACCAATGAATGCAAATTAGTAAAGGACTGAAATATGTTAGAAAAAAAAGAAAAGTGTATTGAATTGCTATGTAATATGTAATCTTCTACATGGCAGTGGATGTTTGACAATCTCCTCAAAGATGAAGAAGTGACTTGAAGTACAGAGGTGTCATTCTACCAACAAATGCAAGTTAGTAAAGGATTATTTCACCCCAAGTAAGGCAACAAAGCCACTAACACACAGGGGCTTACTGAGTGTAAAAGAATATATAGTTGAACATTATTAAGAAATGAGAACAGTAAAAGAACAGAAATTAAGAAGAAAAATGATAATGATTGACATTTTATGTACATTTTTTCAAAGTTGCCTGGAAAGAAAGAAGTTGAAAGAGAATTCCACAAGCGAGAAGTGCGACAGAAGAAACAGTTAGCATAGAACTTATTGTTACATCTAGCCATTTCAAATGTAAAATGATGAGTTCTTGTCGCTAATCTAGTAATGCAATTAAGTTCATAAAGTCTAGGTATCACGGAGGAAAGTTTATCAGAAAGATTACCATGAAAATATTTATAGAAAAGCCACAGGGAAGTTATGTTATGGCAGTGGGAAAGAGATGGAAGTCGAGATGTCAGGTCAGAACCAATAACATTGCAGATTCTTCTTTGGATTTTATCAAGAATCTCTAAATACATAGCAGAAGCACCAGACAATATTTGGCAGCAATATTCTAAGCATGGATATATGGCAAAGAAGTAAATGTGCAGCTGAACAGGCAATTGATTCAATATAATCTTTCAACTTCGTGTCAGATGATGAAGAAATATAAGGCGAAAGAGATATTTTATCAATGAATGCAAATTATTAATGGCTTGTAAAATGTCATTAGCAACAAAGAAAACTCACTGAATTGCTATGTAATATCTAATTGCCCATATGGCAATGAATGCTGGACAATCTCATCACTGAAAAAGAAGAGACATGTAGGGACAGAGATGTGGTTCTATTGATAAATTAGTAATTGATATGAGAATGCCATTTGAAAGAAAGATAAGGGTGCTGAACTGCTATGTAATATTTAATTTCCTATATGACAGTAAATGCTGGACAATTTCCTCACAGATGAAGAAGAGACTTGAAGCAAAAGAAATAAAGCAAAGATGGCAGAACTGCTATATAATATTTAATCTCCTATATGGCAGTGAATGCTAGACAATCTCCTCACAGATGAAGAAGAGACTTGAAGTAACAGAGATGTGCTTCTACTGATAAATTAGTAAATGATTAGAAAATGTTGTTAGAAACAAAGAAAAGAGTGCTGAACTGCTATGTAATATTTAATCTCTTATATGGCAGACAATCTCCTCACAGATGAGGGAAGAAAATTGAAGTGAAAGAGATGTGCTTCTACAGGCGAATTAGTAAAGGACTGGAAAATGTTAGAAACAAAGAAAAACTGTTGAATTGCTGTGCAATATCTAATTGCCTATATGACAGTGAATGTCGGACAATCTCTTCTCAGGTGAAGAAGAGACTTGAAGCAGCAAAAATGAATGCAAAGTTTAAATGGATTGGAAAATGTGCTTAAACACAATGACTGCTGAACTGCCATGTAATATCTAATTCCCGATATGGCGGCAAATGTTGAACAATTATGGTTCTGTCACTGAATGCAACGTTTTAATGATTTGGAAAAATCAGAGTACTGAACTGTAATATTTAAATATCTAATCTCAGATTTATAGAGCAGATAATTAACCTTTTGTTAACATTAAGGCAAATTGTTTGTAATAGGAGTGAATGCCAGGTAGCTTGAGACTCCATTACCATTCACCCTAGATTGATTGATCAATTTGTTTTTTTATGACTTATCAACCCTTTGCAGGTTATTTAAAGCCAGAAAATAATTTTAAATTCTAAGAATTTTTTGGAGATAATAAGGATTTACGGATACAACCCAATGACAAATCTGATTGGAATTAGAAATCAGCTCTTTGATCTCAGCCTGTTCACATTTATCTATCTATCTCAGACTGTTCTGTATATATGTATGTATATATATATATATATATATATATATATATATATATATATATATCAGTCTGTTCATATATATATCTCTCTCAGTCTCTTAATATATGTCTATCTCAGTCTTTTAATATATATCCAACTATCTCAGCCTGTTCACATCTATCTATCTATCTATCTATCTATCTATCTCAGACTGTTCTGTATATATATATATATATATATATATATATATATATATATATATATACATTTTTTATAACATATTTATGTTATAAATTTTGTTAGTGATTTTATAACATATTTATGTTATGAATTTTTTTTTTTTAAATAAATAATTATATATATATATATATATATGTATATATATATATATATATCAGTCTGTTCATATATCTCTCTCTCAGTCTCTTAATATATGTCTATCTCAGTCTTTTAATTTATATCCAACTATCTCAGCCTGTTTACATCTATCTATCTATTTATCTATCTATCTCAGTCTGTTCATATCTATCTATCTATCTATCTATCTATCTCAGTCTGTTCATATCTATCTATCTATCTATCTATCTATCTATCTATCTATCTATCTATCTATCTCAGTCTGTTCATATCTATCTATCTATCTATCTCCATCTATTCACATCTATCTATCTATCTATCTATCTATCTATCTATCCATCTATCTATCCATCTATCTATCTCTGTCTGTTCACATGTATCTATCTCCATCTATTCACATCTATCTATCTATCTATCTATCTATCTATCTATCTATCTATCTATCTCAATTGTTTCATATTTATCTATCTCTCTCATTCTGTTCCTATCTATCCACATATCTATCTAGGTTTTCTTATATCCATCTATGTGTTCACAACTATTTATTTATTGATCTATCTCAGTTTGTTCATATATGTATTCATATCTATCTATCTACATCTGTACCCATATATTTATATGCAGACAAAGAGAATGGGAGAGACAAAGAGTGAGAAACTGTGAGAGATAGAGAGAAAGAGAGAGAGACTGAGACAGAGAAACTCTGAGAGATGAAAGAGAGAGGAGAGAGAAAGATTGCTAAGGATGTGCATGCAGACCTCTGTAAATAAACTGACAGCAAAATGTATTTTGGATTTGGCAGCTTCACGCAAGGTGTTCATCTTTGAAAATTGCCTTTGATTCGTCCTATTGATGGGGAAGCCTTTCTTTTCCTGACTTCAGGCAATTTAGCTTCAGTGATGGGAAATAAGTCAGTCTGTTTTGCGTTTTTCTTCATAGAACTAATACCCCATGTTCCTCATAAGAAAGAGAATACGAGGAAGAAGCAGAAGACAAGAAGGAGGAGAAGGAGGAGGAGGAGGAAGGGAAGAAGAAAAAGAGGAAGAAGAAGAAGAGGAAAAAAGATTGAAAGGAAGAAGAAGAGGAAGAGAGAGAAGTGGAAGAGGAGGAATAAGAAGAAGTGGAATAAGTGGAGGAAAAAAAGAGAAAGAAGACGAGGAAGAAGATGAAGAGCAGGAAGAGGAAGAAGAGAAGGAAGAGGAAAAAGAAGAAGAAGAGGAAGAAGATTAAAGGGGAGAACAAGAGGAGGAAGAGGAAAAAGAAGAAGAAGAGGAAGAAGATTAAAAGAGAGAAGAGGAGGAGGAAGAGGAAAAAGAGGAATAAGATTAAAGGGAAGAAGAGGAGGAAGAGGAGGAATAAGAAGAAGTGAAGGAGGAGGAGTAGGAGGAAGAAAAAGAGGAAGAAAAAGAAGAAGAAAGGATGAAGAAGAAAAGTAAGAAGATGAAAGAGAAGAAGAAGAGGAAGAGGAAGGCGACAAAGAGGAGATGAAGAGGAGAAAGAAGAGGATTAGGAGGAGGAAGAGGAAAAAGAAGAAGAGGAAGAAGAAGAAAAAAGAGGAAGAAGAAGAAGAAGAGGAAGAAGGAGAAGAAGAAAAAGATGAAGGCAGCAAAAAAATATTTCATCATCATCCTCATCATCATCATAATAATAATGGTAATGACAATAGCAATGATAATAATAAAAATGAATCACAAGAACACAGTGAAAAATTTCCTGGAAATTCCAGCTTAAGAGAAATACGAAAAATTGACTTGATAAGTACAGCCCACACATTAAGAAGAACTTTGTCCATGTAACGCTAGTGATGTTATGGGAGTTAGAAAAACAAATCATGAAATGTAGCCATAACAACACACTTCTACCTGCCTTAGGTTTTTCCGCAGACTTGGTAGGTAGTGTAACCATAGCAGAAATTGGAATATAATGATGATGATGATGATGATAATAATAATAATAATCATGGAGAAAAAAGAAGAAAGAGCTGACAAGATGCTGGAGATGAAGAAGTAGTGGGAGAAATATTAAAATGATAGTAAGAAGAAAAAAAGACAAAGCAGAGGTAAATAGAAGGAAAAGAAATGGATGCTGCTAATAATAATAATAATAATAATAATAATAATAATAATAATAAATCCTGCCAACAAAAAATGAAGTGAATACCATCTATGCCAAATGAGTAAAGTAGAAAGCAAAACAACTTAGCCAAATAAAATTACAACAAAACTAGGAGGACAAGGCGTTGCATGTCAAATACCTAAAAAGAACGAAAGAAAGCAGATGTGGACCAACAGAAAACACATCAGTGGCTGAGGAGCACCACGCTGAAAGCTGAGACAGAAGGCCTACTTATTGCAGCTCAGGATACTTGAATGAAAAATGGCTGTCCTGGTAATGAACATTACAAGACAGGCAATGTTTGTATAGAGACTTATAAATTTTTGTAGATTTATATTTTTTTATACTTGGAAAAAACTGTTTAAATATAACTTGAAGAAGACAGACATTCTGTCGAAATAATGATTAGCATTGTCAAAGACTTTATTATTTCTTCCTTCAGTATCTGTCTATATTTCTGAGATGAGGTATTATGCACACTATTTACATTATTCAGACTATTGTCCTCATCTTTGTTGCCATATTTATCCGATCCTTCAGTATTTGTCTATATTTCTGAGATGAGGTATTATGTACACTATTTACATTATTCGGACTATTGTCCTCATCTTTGTTGCCATATTTATCCAATCCTTCAGTATCTGTCTATATTTCTGAAATGAGGTATTATGTACATTATTTACATTATTTGGACTATTGTCCTCATCTTTGTCGCCATATTTATCACAACGTTTCGGCCGTTGTACACTCCGGCCTTCTTCAGGTGGTTGGAATCTCGAACTGAACCCTTTATTTCGCTCAGTGTCAACAAAGATGAGGAGAATAGTCCGGATAATATAATTAATGACAGACATTCTGTCAAAATAATGTTTAGCATTGTTAAACACTTTGTTTTTTCTTTGCTTTTCTTTTTTTTAAACCGTACTTTTCTCTTAACTGTTGAAAAATATTGGAAGAGTTACGTCAATCATTTTGTTTATTATTATTATTATCTTATTTCCTTTGATTTCTGGGGTGCATTCATCTCTTTTCGGGTCCCGTTCAGAGACCTAAGCTCAGAAATGGCATCATGACATTTTCCACTGAGCAATTAAAAAAAAAGAAAACCCACAGACATATTTGACATAGATAAAGCTAGATAGGTAAGGTGCAGGCTGAATGCGTGAGAAAAATTTTTTGTATTTCTTTAAGGCATTGGCTTCCAGGAATCTCTTGAATGAGTCTATTAGAATCTTTTCCAACTAATCTGAGGGCTCCAACTACAACAGGGATTGTTGATGTTCCCATGTACCACATTTTGGGGATTTTGATTTCAATATCCTTGTATTTTGATAGCTTTTTGAAGATCTTCAAAGATACATTGCAGTCTGCAGTGACTGCCATATCAATAAGGAGGCACTTTTTTTTGTTTGAGGTCTCTAATAACAATGTCTTGGTGCTTAGCTTTTATTATTCTCTCTGTGTGTATTGTGTAATCCCATAGAATTGTAACAGGTCCTATCTCCATAACCGGGTCTGGGTGGTGTTCATACCATTTTCTTTCAGTTTCCTTCCCGTAGTAGTTGCAGATTTTCCAGTGCAGATATTGGCCCACTCTGTCATGCCGGGTTTTATATTCAGTGGGTGCCAATATCGTGCAACCTAATACAAGATGATCAATTTTTTCTGGATATTTATCACAGAATCTGCATTTTGGGCTAACACAATCTTTTAGTATGTGTGCTTGATAATTCCTAGTTAACAAGCATTGGTCCTGCGCAGCAAGGATAATAATTATTATTATTATTACTATTATTATTATTATTTCTTCTTCCTTTGATTTTTGGTTTTTATACTGTTATATACCGTGGGATTGGTTATAGTTTTTCCACTGAGAGAAAAGTGTATATTTTAAAGACAAGACACAAACTGCAAACATTTTTTGTTTATAATTTTTTTAAAAATATACATTTTACTTTATTTTCCATATTTTTGCTACTTGTATCTCTGGTCTCAATGGAGAATGAATATATTTACACATACTGGCAAAAACAAACACAACAGACCACCCACAAACACACACACGAACCTTACACAACATAGTGTGTGCATACACATGTGAGTACACACACACACACACACACATATATATATATATATATATATAATAAAAAGGACTCTGTTCTGGACATTGAGTTCTACCTGGATTCTATCCTCTTGAAATTTTTATTCTAAAAATATACATGCATGTGTATGCACCTATGTATATATATTTTGTATATGTATGTGTATATTTACCACTAATATTCTCTGTCTCTCTCTCTGCCTCTCTCTCTGTCTCTCTGTCTCTCTCTCTTTCTCTCTATCTATCTATCTATATATATATATATATATATAGGAGGCACAGTGGAGTAATGGATGTTGGCTTGGATTGAGGAATCGCAGAGCCGAGTTCGAATTCCAGTCGAATCCCTTACATTCACTTACGTGCTAATACCCTTGGGAAAGGTATGTATCCTCTTCCTCTCCCTCCAGCTATGGGTAAAATAGCAGGACAGACTGGGTTCTATAGCCTTGGATGGCAACTGGTCTAGGAGAAGGGCAACTCTGAATTCAAAACCTGTGGAAGGTCGTTTGGGAACCTTGTGGCATTCGGTGCACCAGGTCTCTGCATTCATCCCTTCAAAAAGTGTGGATGGTCCTGCACGAAGCCTTCACCAATATAATCAAATCTCATGTGCCGGTGTCGGGCTGTCGGTTTCCTGGAAACTGATCTGCTTGACCCTCATACGTCGAATCTCGACGGGAGAGTCGATTATATATATATATACATAACAAATTCCAACAATTAAACAGTATATATATATATGGAGAAGGAACATGCATACACACACCAGCAAAAGCACACACAAGACACAAAACAGAGGCAGGTCCAAGAAGATACAGGGGTTATAAAAAGATTTATGCGTGTGTGTGTGGGTGGTCTGTTCTGTTTGTTTTTGCCAGTATGTGTATATATATATTCATTCTCCATCAAGACCGGAGATATATATAGTAAAAATTTGGAAACTAAAGTATAATATATATTTTAAAAAATCCACATTATAACGAAGAAAACATTTGCTGTTTCTCACTTCTTTTAAATATATATATATATATATACATACATATATATATATATATATATATATATATATACTCGACTCTGTTCCGTCAATTCAATGTATGAGGGTCAAGCAAATCAGTTCCCAAGAAACAGACAGCCCATTACAGTAATTCTATAGTGACTTTATTGCCACCTTGTATATATATATATATATATATATATATATATATATACACACACACACACACATATATATATATATATATATATATATATACACAAACAGTAATAACAAAGATATTCTTTGTATATTTTTTTATGTAGTTGACATGTGTAAGCATAATAAATTTTGGAAAATTGCCAAATTTTTGGTTGCATCTATAAGCTTCAGTACTTGATGTTGCAGAATGTTCTTCTGAACTGAATTAAATTTCAAATCCAGCAGATGTTAATGACCTCAGTGTGAGATTTGCCAATCCTTTGGTCATAGCACCTGATAAAGATCTTTATTGGATTTTTGCCTCCCCCCACCAGCCATAAGAGCCAGTATCTCACTCTAGATGATCCTTACGATGATGCTGGGGAGATGAGTCACTAAAAAAAGCTTTTCTGTTTTCTCTTATTAGTGTTTTAATAAGAGTGTATATCCCAGAATATGAACTGCTGTGTATCAGATAATAATAATAATAATAATAATAATAATAATAATAATAATAATAATAATAATTTTTTTTTTTTTTTTTTTTTTTTTGTCAGTGGAAAGTGTCATGACGCCATTTCAACCTTAGGTCCCTATTATTAAGGAAAAGAAATGTGTAAACGCCAGAAATCAAAGAAAATAAAAAGAATAATAATAATGATAATAATAATTATAATAATGATAATTGAGATGTTGAGTGTTTCCGCGTGCGTGTATTGAAATAAGGACAAACACATACGTAGGGAAAAATACTGGTATATGTGAAGAGGTATTTACAACAGAGAGATTAGTAGTCAAATGAACGCAGGTTAGTCAGTAACAATCAGAAAGAGTATAAAATCCAACTGTATCTTCCGGTAGAGAGACGGAAGTGTGATGGTCACCTGATCTCCCAGAACTCTATAGAACTGTCTTATTAGTAGTAGAGAGATCAGTCCATTCTGATGAGAAGGTGGGTGGCCCCAACAATAATTGTAATGACAAAAGTACGCAGGTGTATGCTTTAAGAAAGCTTTATTCAACTGAGAATACAAGGTTCATGTATAGTATCCTTTTATAGTCCCAGTAAACAGAAATAGCTCTTTCAAAGAGGAGAGTAACAAAACAAGGGGAGACCACTCTTGATTATTCATAACAATAATAATAACAATATTATTAATAATAGGAATAAAAGTAATAGCAATAACAATTATAACATTAACAATAGCACTGGTAATAATAATAACAATAATGCATTATTTAAACATAATACTCTAATATAATAATGTTTGGTTTCATTGAATACTTTCTTTTTCCAATGTCTTTTACTGTTTTTCTTTTTTAATTCCAGTTATGTCTCTGTCTCTTGGCAACCGATCTAGAAGAAGGAAAACTCCGAACAACAACCCACAACTCAAGGTGTTAATAGTGCCAAGGAATGAATGGATGCTTTGTTATGAAGTTAGGAACGATCCCCTACAGGCTTTGGAACCTTGTCTGTAAAAGACCGTTGCCAAATGTCTAAATTTGGTTGGACTTTTGGACCTGTGCATCACTCATCGGAACAAACCAGAAAGTTCAGTATGGCTCTTCCAGTGGATAAACACAGAGCCCGTCCTTCAATAGAGAACCTACCTGAAGTCTAGAAACTCCTACACAAATAATGGGTCCTCCCGGCCAGGATAATCACAATGATGGCCCTGTGAATTCTCCAACCAGATGCACAGCCATTCTTTTTGATGTAATGGATATGCATAAAGCTGGGTTCCCCCTCACAGTAATATGATTGGCTGGTGTCAGCCATAAATACAGACTGATGTGGAGGTACATGGACTACACCTATTGTCTTCGCCTATTGCCTACCTCTACGACGAGGACCAGTCCATTATATTTACTTGCTAGAGTGTTCTACCTGGTTACAGTAGTCAACAACCACTTTGCTACTTCGAACAAGTATATCCTTTCTGGAACATATCACATTTAAAGAAAGAAAAACAATAAAATGGTCTCATGAGGAGTGAAAACTCATTATGACTGCATTCTATAAAGCATTGCACAAACTTCAGAATAGCATCACTCACCAAATATGACATTTGGCGAGAAAAGATTGGATAAGCAATTAGAAAGTACACTGCTGAAAACAAACTCGCCAATGTAAGAAGTTACACCATGAGAAAGAACCGACTGACAGATGCTGAAAATAAAAAAATGATGTAATGAATATGCATACACCTGGTTTTCCCCTTACAGTAATATGATTGGCTGGTGTCAGCCATAAATACAGACTGATGTGGAGGTACAAGGACGCCTGTTGAGGACGACGCCTATTGCCTACCACTACGACGAGGACCAGTTGATTACAGTTACCTGCTAGATTGTCCTACTCGGTTACAGTAGTCCAAAACCACTTTGCTACTTCGAACAAATATATCCCTTTCCGGGACATATCAAGAAATAAAAAGAACTGCAACCAGAATCGGTAAATCTCCAGAACATGAAAGGGAACCAGAAATGGATATGAAAATGCACAAACAGATCATAATGAAGAAATTGAGATACACACCAGTCACTGTGAAGATAATGCTGAAAGTTTAGAAAAGTTGGATAGGCGTCATTTTAGTCGCTCACAAGTTGGCAATAAAACAATTCCAAAACACATTAAACCAAATTATTTTACAAAAAACAAGAACAGTATACAAGAAACCAAGGAAAGAAATCATGAGGCATTTATGGCAGAAAGAAAATCTTGAAATGGAGGAAAGAAAACAATTCTCAAAGTTACAACCAACAAAGCAGAACTCCAAAACTATTGAACTCTACCCTGCAGCACTCAAATTAATTCTGGATGAAGTAGACTGACGTATAAGTCTCAATGAAGCAATATATGCATTAGCAATAGCAGCAAATAATTTCTTTCTTTCTTTCCTTCTTTCTTTCTTTCTTTCTTTCTTTCTTTCTTTCTTTCTTTCTTTCTTTCTAATCTTGGGTATGACGATAAACTACATCCGGCAGTAATAATATGTATAAGTCTCAATGAAGCAATATATGCATCATCAATAGCAGCAAATAATTTCTTTCTTTCTTTCCTTCTTTCTTTCTTTCTTTCTTTCTTTCTTTCTTTCTTTCTTTCTAATCTTGGGTATGACGATAAACTACATCCGGCAGTAATAATATGTATAAGTCTCAATGAAGCAATATATGCATCATCAATAGCAGCAAATAATTTCTTTCTTTCTTTCTTTCTTTCTTTCTTTCTTTCTTTCTAATCTTGGGTATGACGATAAACTACATCCGGCAGTAAGCCCTCTGATCATGATATACTTCTGCTTCTTCTTTTCAAAAAATCTGCCATAGGAACAAACTTCTACACAAATATTGAACCTTCAAGTCCCCACAACCAGGATAATCCGAATGATGGCCCTGCAAATTCTCCAACTAGATCCACAGCCATTTATTTAAAGCAAAAAAAGGTAAAATGGTCTCTTGAGGAGTACAAATTCGTTATGATTGCATTTTATCATTTTTATCACTTTCCAAACATATGACATTTGTCGAGAGGAGGTTGGACAAGCAATTAGAAAGCACATTGACGAAAATAAACTAGCCAATGTAAGAAGGTACATTATGAGAAATAACCGATTTGACAGATGCTGAAATTAAAGAATTTAAAAAGAACAGCAACTAGAATTGGTGAATCGCCAGAATATGAGAGGGAACCAGAAGTGGATATAAAAAGTACTAAAATCACACAAAGCACAGATCCTAATGATGAAACTGAGATACAAACCGATTACTGTGAAGGTAATGCTGAAAGTTTAGAAGAGTTGGAAAGGTGTGAACTTAGTCGCTCACAAGCCTGCATTAAAATGAGTCCAAAACATCTGTGTTATGGAAAACGAGAATAGAATAAGAGAAGTCATATAAGTCAAACACAAAATACAGAAATGGAAGAATGAGAAGAATTCTTAAAATTACAACCTACAAAGCAGAACTTCGAAACTATTAAATTTACAATGCAACACTCAAATTAATTCTGGATGAAGTAGACCAACATATAAGTCTCATTAAAGAAATATATGCATCAACAATAGCAGCAACTAAAAAATTAAACATCAAAGTATCAAAAGGGAGTCTCACAGATATGAAGATCACTTCTGGTTCCTTTTCATACTCTGGAGATTCACCAATTCTAGTTGCTGTTCTTTTTAAATTCTTTAATTTCAACCTGAAGATCCCCCTTGGAAAAGAGAAATAGAGAAAGAAATTAAACAACTTAGAAGTGAATTATCAGTACTCAAAGTGGCAATGGGAACAAAAGTCAGGACTAGGAAAGGCAGAAGAGTCAAAAGAAAATACAAAATTAGGAAGGAAAATGAAGACCTATCAGCTAAAGAAAAAATAAAGCAAACAATTTTTTCTCACCAGAGTCGATCCTTCAAATTTAAAAATCAACCATCTGCCCTTGCATGGAGTATTTCTGCTATATATGGTCTGGAGCCCCTTCTGTTTGTCTCAAGGTCCTTGATAAAATCCAGAGATGGATATGCAATGTAATTGGCCCTAATCTGGCATCTCGTCTGCTGTCGCCTCCCTCTGTCTTTTTACAAATACTTTCATGGTAACTGCTCCGATGATCAGCTTTCACTGTTTCCTAGATTCTATGAATTTCAACATTCAACTAGGCTGGCATCTCGCTCTCACCCTTTCACTGTCGAAACTGTTAAATGTAGCCATCTCTTCTACTCCAACAGCTTCATGTCTCGCACTTCTCGCCTGTAGAACTCCCTCCCCATTTCTTGTTTTCCTGATAGCTATAATCTCCAACTATTCAAATGTAATGTCAATCGACATCTCCAGATGCCTTTTATCTATCCCCCTATCCTTCTCTTCTTCCTTTCTTCTATCACTCCTATTTGCTGTCGTTCCAACTTTCTGTAAATCCTTGTAATGGCTTGCGTGCTAGTGGCTTCCCACCTTGCTTGGGGGTGAAGCACTTAAAAACAAAATAAAAACAAAACAAAACAATACAACTGAAATCCCAAAGGATTACATGCTATGAAAAAAGATCAAGATTCTACAGACAGAACAAAATGGAAGATAGGAAAAATATGGGTTTGCCCTGAAGAACATAACAAAAAAGCAGATTGGAATACACAAGAGGTAGAATGGATGAAAAATAAACCAGGAATCACAGACAAGGTAGTTTGAATGTTGAAAAAAGCAGACAATGGGAAATCTCCATGAAGAGATAAAATTCCTAACTTTTGGCTCTTATCTAAATACAGCACACACAAAAAAAAAACTAACCAAAGACCTCTAAGAAATGGTCAATGAAACTACTAAAATTCTGGAATGGGTAACCAAAGGAATTACCTTTCTTCTATCCAAGAATAATGACACATGTCCCAAAAAACTACAGACCAATTACATGTTTTTTCATTACTTATAAACTATTGACATCTATTCTGACAAAACAGATATATCCCTTCTTAGAAAAAGATGACATACTATGTCTTGATCAAAAAGGGTGCAAACATGGCTCTTACAGATGTAAAGACCAATTACTTATTAATAAGATGATCTTGGAAAACTGCTTCAATACAAAGAAAAATCTCAGTACTGCCTGGATAGATTGCTGTAAAACATTTGATAGGGTACCCTGTTTCTGGATCTTAAAGTTTTAAACATATACAAGGTATCACCTGTCATCATCAATTTCATCAAAGTATGTCGATATGGAAATCAACATTTCACCTCAATCATAAATAGAATCTACAAGTCTGGTGAAATAAACATCAATAGAGGAATATTTCAATGTAATTCTTTGTCTCCCTTACTATTTTGTATATACTTGATAGCTTTAACTTGCCTCCGGGGTAAGTAACAGTCTAACTCTCTGCTTTCGGGCGGAGAGGAACCCGGACGAGGCTTCGCCGAAGGGCAGAGTCTCGTTTGGGTTGGTTGACTGCCCCTGAACCCGTTTATGCGAGTTCAAAGAGGAAATATTTTTGGCCGAGCCTACGGGCTCGGAAATCCCGCATTAAACCTGGCCTTGTGCCATATGTAACCCTCGTGGGGGGGTGCTAAATATTACTTAATAGCTTTAACCAGCAAACTTAACAGGACAGAACATGGCTAAATCTCAAAAGGAAATAAGCCATCTATTTTACATGGAGCACTTAAATTTGAATGCTCGGAATGACAATGATCTAGAAGGTCTTCTGAAAGCAGTAAAATGTTTCAGTGATGACATTGGAATGGAATTCAGTTTGGATAAATGTGCTAATGCCACAATTTTACGAGGATCACTACAACAAATTTCCTCTATTAGCTTAGACCCTGGGGTAACAATTTACGATTTAGAGCATGAAGAAGCTTACAAGTGTTGCGGAATCTATGCTGAGTAAGATGTATCAGAAGGTGATGTTTTGTGAAGGCCAAGAATGTGCGTGATCATAATGCATTTATCCACAACAAATAAATCAAACAAAAATAAATAGACAGTTCAACTTCAACAAATTACTGTAAACAACGTCATTAGAGATTTCAAGAATAACGTGAATTTATATATATATATATATATATATATATATATATATATATTTGACATACATAAAGTGATAATAAGTTGCTTCTTAAATGTGGCGAGATAAAGTTACAAAGATTGTCCATGCAGAAATTTAGTGAGTAAAGGTTGATAGTTTAAGTTTGTTTGGGGAATTAAAATTGTTTGATATCTGCAAGGAAAATTGTCAATTGTGTAAGTTCAAGTGACAGTGTGTATGTGTGTGACAACTGCTAGTGTTGATTTAAGTTATGAAGAGTTGTTCTCCTTTAACTGATAGGCTAAAGTTGATTTGAATGTACAATTACTGTTTTGTAGTGATAATGTTGCTTTTTAATAAATTGTAAGTTAAGTTTCTTCACGAGGCAATAGTTGTGCAAGTTGTGTTGAGCTGTTGAGAGGTTGGTAGTGGTTATTGAGTCAGTGTGTTGGCATGCGTGGGGTCTGCTAGTATCTCTCAAAACTCAGTGTCTGACTAACTTGAATTAAGTCAAGCGATTCTTTTTATAGTTTTTTGAGTTTACAAATAGGCTCCAGAAACCTGTGCGGGAAAAAAAGGTTTGTCTCAACTTTGCTACATTTTAGTGTCCTTTTAACCAATGGGGGATTTAGTTTAGAAAATTTAAAGTAACGATTGGTTAAAGGTTTATTTGGGGAAGAGTACATCTTCCCGTAGGGGGTGACAGGCAAATGTGGAGGATTCCATACAAGTAGCTCTGTACAAATGAGGGTGAAGGAATTCACCATAAAGGGTGTGACTGATATTAAGAAATGAATTGAATTCTCAGATCAGAATTATCAGCATTAATATCCTTGCCATCACTCTGGTTCAATATAATTTCAACATCTTGAATTGGATTCTAAATGACATCCAAAGAATGGATTCTAAAACAAGAAAGCTTCTTTCTAAGCTTAACATGCATCGCCCAAAGTTTGATGCAGACTTTAAATAATGAGAAGAGACAGATAGACAGAGAAGTTCTTAGCTGAGCTAGTTATTGACTACTCAGGCGATTTCTGTACCTTTTTACCAAACTATTAAAACTCTTTTTATTGTTATGTGTTATTTGGCGTTTGTCTCTACTAACCCCAAATCAACATCATAACATAATACAAACAAGATTTACATTTAGTAAATTCTGTAGAAAACCTAAACAGAACCCAAGAACGAAATGTTGCAGCAAAAAATATGAAAAAGAAAGCTAAGAATAAAGCTCTTGAACAGACGAAACAACATTGGAAAGACAAACCCCTGCATGGTCAATATCCAGAACATTCTAATAAAGCAGATGTTGATAAAGTTAACACTCAAAAATAGTTACGCACATCTGGATTAGAGGCTGAAACAGAAAACTTTATTTGTGCTGTGCAAGACCAGAGTCTTTTCACTAGGAACTTTCAAGCAAATATCGTACACATATGCAGGTGATGTGCCAAATATCAGGAAACCATCTAATCTCAGAATGTTCTGTACTTGCACTAAATGAATATAAAAATTGTCATGATAGAGTGAGACTATATTTACACTGGACAATGTGCAAACACTTTGGAAAAGAGAATAATAAACACTGGTA